AGGCCGTGCGCAACGAGGCGGACCTGCACTGCATGGCCGTGCCCGCCAAGTACCGCCATATGCAGACCTTCTACCGGTGAGCGCCGCCCGGCCCGGCCTCGTCCCACCGGGGCCCGGTCCGCCCCACCCCGCTACAGCATCTCTTGTTTCTCCGCAGGTACTACTCCGGCGAGAAGAAGGCCCCGGTCCTCACGGTGTTCATCGGTGGGAACCACGAGGCATCCAACCACTTGCAGGAGCTGCCCTACGGCGGGTGGGTGGCGCCCAACATCTACTACCTCGGTAGGGTTCCCCGGCGTCGTTTTCCCCTCCAGCCCCTGGCCCTGCCCCAGCTCCGCCGTGACAAGCCGCGCTCCCGTCTTTCCTAGGTTATGCGGGCGTTGTGCGGTATCGCGGCGTGAGGATTGGTGGCATCTCGGGCATCTTCAAGTCGCACGACTACCGGAAAGGTATGGCCGGACAGAGCGTGCCTGGCTGGGTGGGCAGCGGGGAGGGAAGCACTAGTCCTGAGCCATTGTGCGTGGGTCTGGCTGTTCCTCCTCTCCTCTATACCAATTCTTACGCTGGAAACCTCATTTGGCTCAACAGACAGATTTTTCTGGAGGTGGTAGATGAGCTGTTAGCTGCGTGGTGACACAGCAGGAAGCAATGCGCCTTTTAAATGTTGTTGTTGGAATAGACTTGTTTTTTCCATGGTAGTGTCCTTTTAACATGCAATGCAAGACTGTTTAGTTTTCCGTGTGTGAAACAGTCAATTTATAAGTATGATATTGTACAAATGGACTGAGGCTTAGTGTCGGTGCATCTTGAGATTGGTTCCTCCTGGTTATGTGTATGTATATTCGAGTTATTCTTTGGAAGGGTCTCCATCATTGTACAGAAATCTTGTCACAGATGATATCCGTTGTCAGCAAATAGAAGATAGTCTAGTCTTTCTGATCTCCTCAACACATGAAATAATGGTGTCTTACTTACGATTACTTGTACAGTAATATTACGTTTAGTAATCTAGTGCTTCAGAGAAGACGTGATTCTGTCAGATACCTATCAATGCTAATTAAATTTGTTGTTATCAAGCATACCATGTATATGCCTGGGTATTGCATGTGGGAAATGAGGCTTTGTCAACAGTAATTCTGACTAGTAGAAAAGTAATTTTTCTGTTCATTCTCAAGAGTCTATGGGAGCTCTGGTAGGCATTCAGGTTTCTTGTCCCAAGGCAAAGTTGGAGATTCCATCCCTTTTGACAGGATCTGTGTTTGTACTTCCAGATTATGTGGTGCCTGTGGGCAGTTACAGAAATGTTCAAACTGCTGCTGAATCTGTTAAGATGTAGTTTCATGGTTGGCAGTAGCAATCTTGTAGAAACACAAAGAGATCACAGCCTCAGTGGCCTGAGTCAGGACTCATGCAGTGCTTTGTGATTTTTTGGTTTCTACCACTGAGTTGTAGGTCCTAACTTATGTTCTGATCGCTGACCACTCATAGAGGCTTGCTTTGTGCAGCACCTGCTGGTGTAAGCCTTGTGTAAGGGAAATACAGCATCTTCTTTGGTTGGCAGCCTTGTATCTGGGATTGCTCTAGGTGTCTACATAACCCCAAGAAGTTAGCTTGCAACAGTGTTAGGAGAGAACTATCAATTTGGGCAACTACTCTTCCTTTTCCCTCAACGTTTCAGGCCACTTTGAGTGTCCGCCATATAACCAGCAAACAATCAGAAGTGCTTACCATGTGAGGAATATCGAAGTCTTCAAACTCAAGCAGGTTAGTGAAAAATCTTTTTTTTTTTCTTTATTTAAAAAACCAGTGGTAAATAGTTGTCATTAATTTAGAACTAATATGATAAAGCTACTCTGAACAAATGCATTTTTGGATAGCAAATCTTACCAATAACTCCTAGCTAATCTGGACGGGCCACTTTATTCTGTGTGTTATTAGAATCAACTAGGTTGGAAAAGACATTTAAGATCATCAAGCCAAATTGTTCCCCAGCACTGCCAAGCCTGCCACTAAACCATGTTACTAAGGGCCTCATCTACACAGTTTTTTAATGCTACAGGGACAGTCATTCCTCTAAAGCTTTGTGTGGCAGTGCAAATTTGATCTGAATCAGGCACAGGCAGGAGTGGTTTTGTTTTTTATTAATTGGATAAAATTCACAAAATGGAAGGTACTCCAGCTATACTCCTCTGTTCCTTTATGTTGGCTTTAGGAAGATGGGTGCTACCTTGACTAGCACGCGAGCTGGCTGGTAAAAAGTTAACTAACCAAAATTGAACCAGCTGAATAAGCAGATCCCAGATTCCTGTGATTGAAGTATTTTTGAATCCAGGGTGAGAAATTCAAAAGACAGATTAGCTTTATTCTTGAGCTATTGCCTACTCCCTGCTTTGTCATAAGGGCTACTCCCTTTGACTTAGGTTGTGGTGTAAATACATGTATTTATAAGCATCTTGTGAATGGTTATTCGGGTTGCAGTTGCACACTTAAGTGTTCGGTAGATACAGCAGTGCTGAACATAGGACAAAGGTTTGCTGTCATTGTAAGTTTCTTTATTAGTTGGTCGTGGGTTTAGATTAGACTTCTGAGGGTGCTTCCTTTGAGGAGGAATGGCTTAGCCATTATCCTTTTTAAACAAAACCTTTTAAAAATTTTCAGGAGGAAGAAGATGCCTTTGATTGTGGGTAGAGAATTTGCTCTATAACTGTAATTTTTAAGAGTCTCCTTCAGAGTGCCTGACACTTACTGTGATGATATGATCTCTTTTATAAGGCAGTATATATAAACCACAGCTGACTGTCTCAAGAGAAAGTGCAGTACACACCATGGAGACTAGAGTCCCTCGACAACTGCAAAGGCCACCTGAAAGATGGGGCTCAGTGGTGTGCTTCCTTGCTTTGAAAGTGAGGCTATTGTCACAGCTATCTCTGCATTGATCTGAGGTAGAACATGTTACACGTGTTCCATCTTGTGCTGTGTAATTTTGAAAGTTACCATATGTGTTTTATTTATACCATATGCATTTTGGCTTGACAGTTAAAGCGTCCAATTGATATATTTATGTCCCACGACTGGCCAAGGAGCATCTATCACTATGGAAACAAGAAACAGCTTCTTAAAATGAAATCCTTCTTCCGACAAGAAGTGGAGAACAACACGTTAGGAAGCCCTGCTGCCTCAGAGCTTCTGCAGCATCTGAAACCCACCTACTGGTTCTCAGCACATCTTCATGTGAAATTTGCAGCTTTCATGCAACACCAGGTAAAGGAAGTGGAGGGGAAATAGCAGGAATGTATGTCCCAAGCACACTTAGAATTCCAGTGCAGATAATCATGTCCAGAAAAGCAACTTCTTAATGTTTTTCCTCGGTTCTTGAAGGTCAGCTTAAGCTGCAAAACATTAAGAGATTTTAAGACTACTAACTTACGTAAGTTAAAGACGTTATAAATCAGTGGTGGAAATACCTAATACTCTTCAGGGACAGTGTGAAACAGCTAACATTACTGCACTTGAAACAATGAATTAAACTTTATAAAAAACACTCTCTTTCTCACTTCACTGAGGAAGGAGACAACTTTAAAACAAGGTGATAGAGAAGCAACTGAACAAGAAGAGAGTGGTTAACTGGGGATGGGAGGATACCTGTAGTAAAGCTTGGCAGGTTAAGTTGTCTGGTGGCCTGGGTAAAGCCAAAAAACCACCCCCTGTAGGTTGAAACTTCCCTTCGTTTGAGTTACTCCTGAAAGTGGTGTGACATGCTATTCCTATTTGCAGGTTATTTAGCTGTAAATCTGTAACTCTGGACGTTCTATTCTCAACAAGTCTGTTTCAATTTATGTTAAAGCTTTTCTTTTTGCTTCAAGGCTACATGTGCTCAGCTGCCTGGGTTAAGGATGATTAAGGATGAAGTATGGCTCTTGCTTTCTCTTTGCTGTCATCTGCATCTGGCTTCCTGTTAGAATTCCCATAAAGTCTGTCTTTGTCCCTCCATCTCTTTCTTACAATCCCATGCTGATTTTCTATTTCAGAAAGTCTTTTTCTGTATACAGTATGCCTTTGAGTCTCTCTATGTAACTTGTTTAGAATGGTCAAATTTCACAGAAATGCTAATGACTCTGTTAACACCATTTGTTTCCTAGACAAACTCCAAAGAAGAGCTACCAAAAGCAACAAAGTTTTTGGCCCTGGATAAATGCCTGCCACACAGAGACTTTCTGCAGGTGATGACTCTGTGCAGTGGGTTATCGCTTTTTAAGTACTTCACTTGTCTGGATTGCTAAGTGTTGTTCTTGGGTGCAAGCATAAGAAAAGTGATTAATGGAGGAATTGGAAAGAAACTAGGAATGGTGCATGTGTAGAACTCTTTTTGTATAGTATTGAAATAAGCGAACCTTGTGTCCTGTCATGGAGGTGTGGTGTTTGCTTATTCCTACCATTTCCTTCCTCCTTAGAACAAGTACTTAACTGGAGGAGTAGCTCTACTTTAACCTGAATTGCATCTCCTCTTGTGGTGTTTGGGTTTTGCTTTTTTGTTTGGTTCCACCCTGCCCCCCTCCCCCCCCAAATGTCAAACCTAAAAAGAAAGCCCATCTTGAAGCTTTTCTTCTTTCACAGTTCAATTTGGGTAAGCTAAGGCCTCTGTCTTCAGATCTGGATTCATGAATTCAGACAGGATTGAGTCCTAAATTGAATACTGTAATTTCCTTTCAGTTTTCTTAATTCAAGCAGGAATTGCTGTGCCTTCTTACGAGAATGGTTCTGCTTCAGTTTGGTGCATATCTTGGCTAGAAAGGGTAGTGGACAAGTAGGAGGTCTGGGTTTTGGGAATTCTTAATACAAGTGCCAAACTAATTTGCCAAGAGCAAAACAATATTCATGTCTGTCGCTTGTGCTGCCTGGGGTGCCATCTGTAAAATATCATACGGATGGATCTAAAATCTTCTGTTATGAGAGGGAGCTGCTGACAGCATGTTCTTCAAATGCAGTGAAATATTTTAGTGATCTTCCTTTAAAGTAGCCCTTTTTTGTCAGCTTAAAGGGAAGATGGTTCATTATCTGTCCTTTGGATGTGTGATGGGATCCATTTGCCCTAGTAGCTACCTTTGAAGATGGGAGAGAGTATGAGGATGAGCTTTTGCTATGCAAAGGTACACTGGGGTGCTAGTCCAGACTTAGAATCCTGTAGCAAAACTGATCTGGAGTAATACTGCCTCCAACAGCATGGTGATTCAGCTGTATATAGCTCTGGTTTAAAGTGTATCTCTTTTTTGTTTATACAGCAGAATGACTGTTGCTATCAATTCTTGACTATTTATCTGCCTAGAGGGTGGCATGAATTTAAAGAGTAGGCAAATTCTGTTTTCCAAGTTGCATAACTGTCCAGTAGCTGTGGCAGTGGGGAGGAGGGTGTTCTGCTTTTAGTTGCTGTAAGGTAAAATACAGTAAAGCTTTTTTTACTATTGCTGATTGTCCTTTCTTAGCCCCTTGTTGCTATAAACTTTAGGACTAAATGAGAGGACTTGTTTGATTGAGATGACTAGCTTGGTGTTCTTGAAACTTAACTAAAACTCTAAACCATGCAGTTAACACTTGAAACTTTTATCAGTTTCTGGTGTCAAGAGAAATAACTCACCTCATCTGTTTCTTTGGTTTTGTAAACAGATAATAGACATAGAACATGATCCTAATGCAGGTGATTCGCTGGAGTATGATGCTGAGTGGATTGCAATCCTCAAGGCCACCAACAGTCTTGTTAATGTGACTCAGAGCTCATGGAATATGCCTGAAAAGAATGGCCTCCATGGAAAGTAAGTTGCATGCAAAACATAGGAGAGGGTGATTTCTGCTGAACTGGAAGTAAGCTTACCTTAGAATTGTGTTTCTTATTCTGCAGCTTATAATGCCTGTAGGTCCTGGTAAATGCCTTGGGGAGAGCAAAGGGGATGTTGTCAAGAGCTGTACTCTAGAGCATACAACTTCTTTGCTGCTCTACAGAGGCAGCTAGTTTTGTTTTGCAAACTTCGATACCACCATTTGAGGGGTGGAAAATACATGGTGGCTGATCATCTTGGCAGTTACGCTGTGAGACTGAAAATCAGCCTGGATTATGGGGGTGGGCAGGTGAATGTTTATTGGGTGCATAGACATAATACACAAATGCTCGGTGGGGAGGGGGGAATGTCAGTATTGACCAAAAGTAGTGTACTTTCCTGAAAAATTATTTGAGGAATTAAGTGTCTATTGTAAGATGAATTTATTACCCATTTGATAAACATTCTCTTTACAGTGGGAGCAGGAAGAATGTTTTGATTAGCCAGACTTGTTTAAACTTTATACATTTATTTAGGTGGGACTACAGTGCATCTGAAGAAGCCATCAAAGAGGTGTTAGAAGAATTGAATCATAACCTCAAAATTCCTTGTAACTTCACATTGACAGCTGCTTGTTATGATCCCAGCAAGCCCCAAAAACATGTGGAACCAGTTCATACCATCAATCCACAGACCACTGAGTTTTGTGCCCGGTTTGGTCTCACTGACATCAATGACAGGATCCAGCAAGCTAAAGAAGAGGGCTCAGTACGAGGTGAATATGAAGAAGAGGAAGAGGAAGAGGAGATGGACAGTACTGGGTCAGCAGAGGAACCCAGTGAATACAATACAGATAATTCTGGACTTTCGTCCATTAATCCAGATGAAATAATGCTGGATGAAGAAGGTGGTGATGAAGACTTAAGTACATGTTCTGTTGATCCTTCTCCTGACCATCCTCCTGACTTCTCTGCAAGTTTTTCTGACATCCGGATCATGCCAGACTCCATGGCGGTATCGTCTGATGATGCTATGGACTCCACTAATGAGGAACTGGAGAAATCTGGTGTGAGTAAGCAAGTGGAAGAGAAGAGCTTAAGTGAGAGACCATTAAAGCGCATTTGTGGTAGTGAAAATGGGAACAGTGGCATTAAAAAAATTAAGAGAAGGAATCAAGCTATCTATGCTGCAGAGGATGAAGATAAAACAGAATAATTCTTCATATGATGTATAACTAAGTTCTCACCCTGCTTTTTTATGGGAAGATGGCAAGAACTGTTGTGGACTACTCGTGCTTTTAATGTTACTTGATCTTATTGATATTACTTTCTTAAGCTGAACAGGCTCTGTGTACCTCTTACAAGGAAGAAGATTTATCTGGATTAAACGTCTAAGTCAGAAGCAGACTTCCAACAAAGTACTTTGTCAAAGGATTTAAAGCTCATGTATAATCACTTGATTTCGCTTCAGTTCTTGGTTATTAGTGTATACTACGTATCTTTAGCTGTACTGCTATACAAGATTCACCATGCTTGTTTAACAAGAAAAGAAATCTTAAACTATAACTCAAGTCAAAGTGGGAGGATGTCCGACTTACAAGACTGAATAATTTGATTTTACTGCTTTTGTTTTATACTGAACTTTTAATACAAAGTAGCATATGCAATAACTCCATGAACTAAATTTAAAAATAGAATTCCCTTGATTACAAAACAGCAATAGAAGAGTGAAGATTTTTTGTTTCTGGTGATATTCATGCCATAGAAAAATGTCATAAACAAAACAATGTCTGTTGTCCAGTACTGGCTTTTAATTACTGTTTGATAGAAAACAACGTCTCTTAATTTGAAGCATGGCAGTTTTATGTGGACCATGGAAAAGCGCATCTCTTCACAAAAACTCACTTGTGTGCTGTTTCTTAAAACTTGAAAACCATGTCTTGAAATTAAAATGCAAGGAGTTAGGATGAAGAGCTTCCTAAACATGGACATCATCACTGTCTCGCCTTAATTAAGGCTGGTTTCAGATAAGGTGGTTGATGTTTATAATTATTAGTTGCTTGAGACAGTAATGCCTACCATTGTCATTAGCCTGGGGTTTCACCTGTCACTTCTCTTCAGCAGTTTGTGACTTGCCATATTCTTACAACTGGATTTGCGATCTTCCACAATACCTTCACAAACTTCAGCTGAGGGAAGACAGGAGCTGCCAGAAGAGAGACCCTCCTAGGAGTTTTCTGTTTACTGTTCCAGTTTGCCCTGAATTGTTAGCAAACTGATTACACTCTTTTGGCCTAAAAGGCCAAGCATAACAAAACTTACTGAATTAATGAAAAGACAACGTTTTCAAACGTATGTCTTTAGACTCACTAGTCTTCCTATCAAATACTGCTGGTGTGCTGTGCTGAGGTTTTGGAGTCCAGACAGAGCGGGGCTTCCTCATGACTGTGCTGCCCTTGAGAGCACAAATAGCTCCTGTGTGCTTTTGCTCCTCTGAGGCACAGGCACTGTGGAGAAAAAAGCATTCTGACAGGAAAAGGGAACTGGACAGGGAGCAATGAAATGGTTTGGTGAGTGTGAGTTATGTTGCAGGGAAACGCTTTTAAGGCCAAGACTTTGTCTTTCTCTATTCTGGGATTCATCTTGGTTCCTCTCCTGTCAGCAGTTCACTGTGAAAACTAAATGTGTATAAGTATTCAGGGGCTACTAAATGGCAAAATTAATGTTCTCCACCTTCAATTAACAGCTTTATACTGGTGGCTATTAACATCCTGGGCTTTTTTCCAGAGGATGTTATCTTGTTTACTAAATGATTAGTTGAGCCCTGTTAATACTCCTCCTCTGTCTGTCTGTGCCTGCTTATCTCTCAGAACACCCACCAAAGAGAACTGTAGTATGATGTGATGGAAAAACTGGAAGTGTTTGGTGTAACCCTCAGGTTATCTAAAGCAGTTGTGAACTATTAGCTACATTACTGAAGATATTTAACTATCTTTAAGGGTCTTGAGTCTGCACTGCTAAAATCTTAAGCATGCCTCATGATCTGAAGACTATATTGGAAATAAAGTATTTTAAGCATAAAATGTGTTATGAACTTGGAAAGTCTCACAAGATATGAGTGTGGTATTCGGCTGTCAGATTGCCTGTGAACTGGAGTAGATGTATGTTACATGTAAGAGACTTTTTAGTCTTATTTCATATGTTTTTTAAAACAAATTGTTCTGTTGTGTGTTGTCCCATGTCTCCCCCCTTTCTGGTATGTTTCTGCTTTCCATTAAGCAGGAGACTTTGACAAGATAGAATAATGATTTTTGAATATCTAAATATATTTTTTTTAATACAGTATTTCAGCATCCATTGAGCAGAGTTCAGCTGGTAAATATAGTTAACATTTTTTTGAGTACGAATCCTGTCTCATCTGTATAATGTCACTGTGCCCTTTCTTGCAGTTGTTCACACCCTCTTTGCGGTCTGAAGTGTCCTCCCCCTACTGTGCTTTTGTCGGTGATGGACTTTCCCTGTCAGCAAAGTCCTCTGCTGCATGTAGAATTCGGTTGAAGCTCTGAACTTGAAGTCTCTCCAGTCAGTACCAAGTACTCCACAAATTATGTAGAACACCAGGGAAGGCTGACAAAGTTTATTCAGCTTTTAAGACCCAGATGCTTCAGCCCTCTTTAAAAAGAAGCTTTAGAGGATTTTTGAAACTTTTTAAATTTTTGTGAGAAACATTTGGAAAACATTTCTGTGTCAGACTCTTGTACCACATATTTTTCACTATGAGAGACACTTAGTCTAAAATTACATTTGCTATTCCCTGCAAAGTGCCTGAGACAAGTGTTCACCCATTTCATTCCAGACCAGCACACAGGTATTTCATTCAAAGTTTCATAAGTGGGTTTTGAGTTTTCTTTCTCTTAATTCAAGGTATTAAATTCATTTTGTGACAGAATCCCCAACTATTGTGCTTCCATTCTCCTCGGCAATCTCTAACAACTGGCAAGCCTGTGTCTGCCTTGCAACAGCAAAATTTAACCTGACCTGTGATCCTTTTGCTATCCTTCCTGTTGCCCCCTTAATTCTGCTTTCAGGAGCAGTGGTTAATAGAATTGGTATCCCCATGTCTCAAGATGTGAAATACAGGGGAGTTAATACAAAAATATCAGATCTTAAAAAAGGCTGCAGCAAATCTGTGTGAAGTTGTGGGTTTTGGGGGGGCGTTTTCTGCAAAAACCCCAAACTAAACATCCATGAAAGCAACAAAAGCTATGACCAAACCAAAAGTACCTAAGCCGTTTATTTTCCGTGCAGCAAGCCAGAGGCTGGGAAGCGGTGTGCCATGCCCGTGTCCCAGATGAGGATGCCGCCCGAGTAACCGGTTCTCCCAACGCTCCAGCTCTGTGGATGAACTGCTGGCCCCCGCCCTGCTCACACTCTTCATTATGTATGTCCCCAGAGCTGCACACCGGCAGGGGCAGGGCGCGGACACGACAGGAATTCCGTGATTCCCACCCCAGCTGCAGCTACCTGAAGCTATAAGCGGTTGCTCGCGATCAGGTCGGGCTGTCGCCGGGTGGGTGAGGGCTGTGCTGTGACCGAGCCCATTGCGGTGCTGCGGGACCAGCTGCGCTGAAGCC